CTTTCTCAGTGTGGTGCAAAGCAAACCAGATCTTGAGTCCGTACCACCGATTTTCGGGCTTTCCTCACATCTTCTTCGCTAACGCCAAACAGCGTTGGCTCCAAGTACTTCCCGTGAGGGAGTTCGGGATCGTGTTTCAGCGTGACGGCTGGATAGCCGCTCATGGCCTGCATGACCTTGCCACAGAGAGTGCGAAAGCCGTCTCCAGTGTGATTACTCGCACAAAGGATCTGAAACTGTTGCAGCTGTGGAAACGCAGGCAGAAGGGATGTGATTATGGACCAATCGAGAGACAGGACGTTTGGCTGCCCCCCGTCCATCTTTTGACCGGCGTCAGCAAGGACGATGCGGTGAACAGACCAAGTCTCGTCGCCGCCCCCAGAAGGTAAAGATCTGATAACTTGTACCCAGATGTTTGCTGCTGCTACCCCATTTGTTATGCAGCCACTGAACGTGTAAGCATCTTGTGAACATCGTGTGAGTACAGCAATCTAGGAGAGTGACAATTCCGTTTCACCTTGAGCTGCTTCTGCGACCTCGAAAGATGAGTAGCTGATTGAGTTTCCGCTCCCCAAGAACATCCGGATGAGGTTGATGGTGGCCCACGTTTCTGCGCCAACTGCCGGCCCTGGAGTCCGACGTCGGGTGAACGAGTGTCGGGTACTTGCCGCACCCAGAATCCAAGCGGGCACTGCCATGTTATCCGTGCAGCCATCCTGGTAGATCTTGCGGACATGGCCGAATGAGCCAGAGCAGATACTGTTCGCAGCGTCGATTGTCGCGGGAGTGTCGCCCGACCATTTAACGTCGATGAAATGGATGGTCTCTAAGCGGGGGATGTCTGCCAGCACACGGAGCAGGGTTCGGAACGACCGGAACCCCCACCGGAATAGCTGCAGAGAGGTGAGGTTCCGCAGCGAGCTTTTCAGATCTGCGCTGCGTGACACGCATCTTTTGATACGATCAAAGCGGTGCCAGACGGTGCGGCACGCCGGCAAGAGGCGGAGGAGCGCCATACAGAGCGGATTGGATGAGTTGTTGATGTGAAAGTACAGCGCGGTGACATGCCCCGCAAGCCATGCTGAAAGCGGGGGTTGGAGTATACTGTACAGCGTACGGCAGTCCTCATTGCTCCTCAGGTCAAGCTCGCTGAAGAGACCGGGGCGAAAACAGCGACACCAAGCTTGCGAGACCAGGGAGAGCCCCGAGATTTCCCTGTAGCCGGCGATGATTACCAGGAGGTCGTGTATGTGGTCGTGCAGTTCGGGAGGGAGCTGTTTCCAAGAGCGGACAAACACTGAGAGCGGCCCAGGGCTCCTACCTGGAGAGAACGTATGAGCAGCAGTAGGCAATGCTTCAAGACCGTGACTCACACCACGCCTCATACTCCAACTCAAGTGTCTGCCTCCTCCATTTGTTGCTCATTGAGGTTGCCACGCTGGAATTGAACGCACGTGGCTGTAAGTAGCCGATCGCGACAACGGTCGGCGGCTATCACCCGACAAAATCACGCGGACTCGGAGATGTCGACCTTGCAGTGGCCTCGCTCCGTTTTTGGATTTGCGTTGCGTCCTCTGCGTACGCACGCATAATATAATTTGTGATACACTCTAATTGTACAGATTAACGCGTCCGCAGCTGGTGAGCTCTGCAGCGTGACACGGGTTGGATTGCGGCAAAGGTCGGAACCGCAACTCGAGGCGGGCGATTGGCCAGCGAAGAATACGGACCAGCGGGCTATGTGTGCCTGCCTCGGGTTACATAAAATAGGGTTGTTTCTGTGGAAAAGGTAAGCACTCTTCCGTTCACACGACGTTGGCCCTGAATCAAGAGGGGCGACCTCAGTCGATTCAGAGGTCCGACCGGACTGCTTGCGGGGCTGCCTGCTTGCCGCTTTGGGACGTGGCTGTCCACGGTAAGCATTCTAACAATGGCGAAGAAGGCACGAAAACCCCTCACATACCCGACGAAGAGGTCTAGAACCACCCGCGGGAGCCCGTTCGCCCCCAGTCTGTCTGCTGAGGCGTTAGCGGTCAGCCATCCTCAGATCCAAAATTATTAGAGTTCAGCCCGCTGTTCCCTCCTTTCGGAAGCAGATCAGGCACGGGAGCTTCAGGAGATCCCCTTAGATATAGGATACCGATCGCCCTTTCATAAAGAATAGGGGCGGGCTGGCCCGGGCTAGGTTGACTGCCCCTGGTTTCCTGGTTCTCGGATGAAACACAAACCAATTTGGCAACCAACCGTTGTCGAGCTCGTAAAAGGTACGTTGAATATATATGGAATGCCGAAAAGTAAAACAGTGAACAACTCCCCTAACTCCTGTAGTAACAGGAATCTTGGAAGACGAGCAATGGCCAGCAGACTCTCAGTGATGCCGTACGGGTTGCTTGGCTATTTACGACGTGACTTCCCTAATCTCAAAGCCTACATATACCGGGGCTCATATGGTACGAGAAGCAGGGCCAACAGACTAAGGAGGGCTCCGTAACTATCGCTCGATCTTGTTAGGAGTTCAATTAGGACTGAAGCAAACACATACGACGACACTTACTTGAATGGTAAGTACAGTCACAGCGTTCTCTAATCGACCCGCTGAGGAATTTGCTCAGGTACAACCATCGGAAGTATTTAATTATGCCGTCGAGCACGATTGCCTGTGCCTCTGCGATCATGGTGCCTGCCCCCGCTGTACACAGAGCTCCTGTTTCATGAAATTGCCTGCGCGCTCTGCACTCAGCGCAGCACGCTATCGAGGCTGCTACTGAGTACTGAGCCCCTGTTGGGCCCTTCTGAGGACCACCACCTCTCCAAGAGGGCCCAGGACATGCTGTGAGCGAAAAGGTATAAAAGCCCTGTCTACTGTCCTCGTTCAAACCAGCCTCATCGAGACTTCCATCCAGCCTTCGGACACTCGCTTCAGCAGCTCTTCTCTCCCACCACCCAGCTCTTATACTACAATGCGCTCTTCTTTCGTCGCTCTCGTCGTCCTCGCCGCTATCGGCAGCACCATCGCTGCCCCTGCGCCAGGAAACTTTCTTCCCTACTCTACCGGCGGCAAAGGTGGAAACGGTGGCAGCGCTGTCAGCGGCAACTCGGGCTCCGCCAACGGCGGCTCTGTCTCCACATCGGGCTTACGACGTCTTCGTCGGCTCTGGTGAGTACAGTGCTTGCGAGGCGCATCGGTGCGTGCTTACCCCCATGTTTCTCAGCCAAGGGTGGCAACGGCGGTGTCTCTGTCTCGGGAAGCGCCACCGGCGGCGACGGCGGCAATGGAGGCAGCACCAGCGGATTCTTTGCTAGCAACGGAGGCAACGGCGGCACCGGCGGCAGCGCCAAGTCTGGCCAGTCTGGCTCTGCCAACGGCGGCTCCGTTTCCACGACGGGCAAAGATGTCTTCGTCGGCTCTGGTAAGCATCCTTTTTTTCATTTTGTTGCGACCTGCAGCTGCTGACTCACGGGTGGCTCGCAGCCAAGGGTGGAAACGGCGGCATCAGCGTCACGGGCAGCGCCACTGGCGGCGATGGCGGTAACGGCGGCAGCACCAGCGGATTCTTCTCCTCTGGTAACAGCGGCAGTGGCGGCAGCGGAGGCAGCGCCACGTCCGGCAACTCCGGGTCCGCGAACGGCGGCTCGGTCTACACGAGCGGCAGCCATGTCGTCGTGGGCAGCGCCCAGGGAGGCAACGGCGGCATTAGCAAGAGCGGAAGCGCCACCGGCGGCAACGGTGGCAATGGTGGCAGCAGCGGGCACTTCTTCTAGAGGACTCTGCACGCTTTTACTTCTCTCTCAGAGGGTAGACTGGTTTTCTTTGTGATTATCTGGGCTATTGGAGGTCTTTAAGAACTGTATATGTGCATTATCCAATGCGGATTTAGAGGTGTCTACAATGTCGTGTTATAAATCCCGTGAAGGAATAGAGTGCATGAGCATGCGTGAAAGTCTAAGATGAGCAGGGTAAATAGCGATCGATCACTGTTTGTTTTCTGCGAGCTGTCAAAACGCTTCGGGATCCTTCTCCACCTCTCCCGCCTTGAGTTCCCCATTAACGTGCGTGATGGCCTCTTCGTCCGTGGCGTTATCGATATCTTGGCGATGCGCGACGATGCCGACTTGGCGGAGGAAGACAGCGGCAAGGTGCGCACCGAGGACGCCGAACGCGAAGCCACCGCACATCACGGCCTTGTAGGCGTCCTGCTGCACAAAGTAGGGCGCGTTCGTGTCGGACTTGTTGACCGCGATGCTCAGTCTGCTTCGAGTCCTTCATTAACACGGAGTTGAAGATGATCGTCGCGACGACGAGGCCGAAGGAGCTCCCGGACTGGTGGGGGGATGGAGCATGAGCGGTGTGTATAGCATGCGGGAGCAAGGGCTCGGGGACCCCTTACCTGGCTCATGGTCTGAAAGAGAGCCTTCGCAAGATCATTTCTCCATGATCTGCTCCATCAGCTCGATTTGTACCTGCTCAAGTGACGGCAGCAGCAACAATTGTACGTTGCTGAAGAGGGTCGAGCAAGAGTGGTACTCGTCGTTACAATCGGCTGCCTTCATCTCAGTGCCAGAGGAGACGGTCCTGCATGTGCAGGTACGTTCGCCCAACGCTCGATGATCTGCAGAAGGGTAACCATCTCTGCTAGCCATGTGTCAACTAAGTACGAGGGCACTGGTTGCCACTACTCTGGGCGCCGCGCAAATTGCTATTCCCCACACATCAACGGTGCAGCCCATAGGGTGGGTCTGCCAACCTCATAGAGTTTAACTATGCTCATACTGAAGACGATGACAGTACCGTACCCCATAGCCACAGCGAGGGTATCTGCGAGGAGGGGGACGCTCGGCGCATCAATGTGATTCCCCCCCCCCCCCCAACTGTATGTGACGAAGAGGTGGTAGAGCTGGTAACCGTGCGCGCCACTGGTGCAGAGCATGTACTCAACGTGCACGAAGCTATCGAGGATCTCATATCGTTGACCTACACATGGTGAATCAATCCACGCTGAGAACAACATTGCGACCTGTAGAAAACTGGGTCATCTGCGGCAACGAATGTACTGTCCAGACGCGGTCGGCACTGCGATTGGCTTCGTGCTGATTCTGAGTTGTTGTTAGGATAATATTTGGGGGCAAAATACGCCCATGCGAACACAGATGATATTGCTGACCGTTGGCGCGCGAGATCTAACTGAATGAGAGCAGAGGTTTACTGATACGACCCCAAAACATAAGTACACTTTGTCAAAGGCGTTGTGAGACAAAGCGAGCTGAGAATGAGATGGCGAGGCAAGCACAAGGTCTAGCCCAAAGGTCCATTTCCCGCGGTCACGCGCTTGGGCGCCGCTTCCCAGATCCTGTTCCAGATCGCACCCTTCCCGCGCGATGAAGAAACAGGGGCCAAAAGGTATGATAAAAGATACGATATCATGTACGAGCTGACTACGGCACAGCGCCATGAGCAGCGTTCCACTTCTGCTCAGGGACGCGCACCGTGAAACGTCCGGGAAACATGCTGCGACATGTTTCCATACGTCTTCGCAGGCCAGCTGAACAATTGGGATGATTATCGCCCAGCAGAGCTGCACCGTCGTCCGCGCGGTGCTGCTAAGCGCTGCACTATATACTTCTTCTCCTTGGCCTCTACTCCCTGATATCGAGCCAGAGATACGCCCACATCCGCCGAGCAAGCATGACTGAAAAGTTTTCTAGGTGAGCACCTCCTGCCTAACTCTCCTGGGATACTCGTTACCGTGTTTGCACAGGCCTGACATCCCCGTAGACAGCCCGAATTCGAGACCCTCCAGCTGCACGCTGGCCAGGAGGTGGACCCTGCGACCAATGCGCGCGCACAGCCCATTTACGCGTCAACAGGCTTCGTTTTCAATGACGTGCAGCATGCCCAGGACCTCTTTGCCCTCAAGTGCGTCCCCCCAACCGCTTCCCACCTAATCAGCAGCTAACTTACGCGTCAAGGGCGTTCGGTAACGTGTACTCGCGTCGCGTATCGGGAACCCGACTGTCGTAAGTCACGCTCTGTGGCTTCCGCGCGCTCACTGTGGCTGAGCGCCTTCACCAGGACGTCTTTGAGAAGCGTATGACTGCCCTTGAGGGCGGTGCTGCCGCAGTCGCGCTTGGGTCCGGCGTCGCCGCACAGTTCGTGACGTTCGCAACGATTGCCAGTTGTGGCGACAACATCGTGTCGTCGGCCTGTCTCTACGGTGGAGTGCGCTTGTTTCTGCTGTCGATATTACCGCAACACCGCTAACGACACTATAGACCCACAACCAGTTCAAGGGTGCGTCTGCGCTCTTTTGCCTTTCTCTCAGGTCTTCCTGATGCGTCTCAATGTTAGTCTTCCTGAAGAAGTCCGGCATTGGGGCCAAGCTTGTCGACTCACTTAACCCCGAGGACTTCCGCGCCGCGATTGATGAGAACACGAAAGCAATCTTTATTGAGGTGATGGGGAACCCCGGCTTCTTCGTTTTGGACATCCCGGCCTTCGCGCAGGTCGCACACTCGAGCGGGATCCCACTTATTGTTGATAACACCTTTGGCATGGGAGGTTTGCTTAGGTCTCTTCTAACATTGAACGTTTTACTGGTGCGATGTCTAGGATTCTTGGTCAGACCTATTGATTATGGTGCGGATATCGTCGGTGAGCTGAGGATTTTCGTGCAACTAGCTTAGGGTAGAGCTAAGCTCCAAACAGTTCACAGCGCAACAAAGTGGATCTGCGGGCACGGTACCAACATCGCCGGAGTGATCATCGACTCGGGCAAGTTCGACTGGTCAAGGAGTGGCAAGTTCCCGTCGTTCACGGGGTGCCACGGCCTCAAGTTCTGGGACACCTTCGGCCCAGTCGCTTTCGCGCTCAAAGCGCGTATCGAGGTCCTGCGCGATCTCGGCGCGACGATGAGCCCGTTCACGGCGTTCCTGCTCCTGCAGGGGCTCGAGACGCTGAGCCTGCGTGCGGAGCGGCACAGCGCCAACGCCATCGCGCTCGCGCGCTTCCTCGAGCGGCACGCGAAGGTGAGCTGGGTGAGCTACGTCGGGCTCCCGAGCCACCCGAGCCACGCACTCGCAAACCGCTTCTTCCGCGAGGGCCTCCACGGTGGCGTGCTGAGCTTCGGCTTCAAGGGTGGCCGCGAGGACGCCAGCATCGGCAACCGCGTCATCGACCCGCTCAGGCTCGCGAGCCACATGGCGAACCTTGGTGACGCGAAGACACTCGTCCTTCATCCCGCAACGACGACGCACTCGCTGCTCAACGAGGAGGAGCTGGTGGTAGCAGGTATTACGTCGGATCTCATTCGGGTACGTTAAAGTCTTATTCCGGAGACGTGATTTGGGTTGACGCGATCGTGCAGGTGTCGGTTGGCATCGAGCACATCCAGGATATCATTGCGGACTTTGAAGAGGCGCTTAAGACTGTGCCCTAGTGCAAGATACAAAAGGCAAGACTGGGTTGATGATGATTTAGAAGTGTAGTGAACGAATCCCCGTGAGGATTGGCGACACTTGTGCCAGAATTGTCTTTGAAGGTGTAACAAAGAGGTTTGGGACAGTTTGGGACAAGGGACGCTATACTGCAGTAACTGCAAGCATAAAGAGGAGTCTAATGGTTCAGATCAAGGCCACGACTAGCTCACAGTGAACGGGAGTGCATCACACCATGACCCGGGCGCTCTGCAATATATTTCGTATTTTTAACACAGTTTCCTCCGGTTATCTTCACCACAGGATCCATCGGTTGCTGTATAAAGTGATATTTGCATCAAGCTTCCTTCCTGCGAGGTAGTTCATCGCGCATTGTGGCTCCGCCAATGATGGAAGAACTGTTGGGCTATAGAAGTTTAGAATCGCCTCCAGGCCAAACCATATCGGGGCTTCCTGGCTTAGCTCGCTCTCTTGTCCCTCCGTAATATTTGCCGCTATCCTGCGTCTGTTTGAGGTCAGAAACAGCACACCTTAGAGCCTTCCGCGGTTACAATGTCGCGTATGTTCTCGGTTCCAGGGCTGTTCTGCGTGATGGTTGCAAAAGAAAGGCCAGCCGACCTGCAAGAGGCCCGCATTAACAGACGGGCCTAATGTGAGCGACATGAGCCATGCCGACTTGAGGTACCCTGTTGGCGATGTTGAAGAACTGCTGGCGATACCGGCCACATGCAGGCTGAGGTTTTGCCAACAATTCCGATCCGACAACGATTCCGGGCTGGCAGACCTCTCGTTCCTCGGTAGAATCTTGTCCTTGGTTGCACGGTGCTGGGATCGTGCCGGCAAGTCGGAGATTAGGCGGCCTCGCGCGGGCAGGATGGCCGCTTTGCCAGTCCCCGACGCCTTGCACAGCACAGACTATAGCTTGTTCTGTCATCTGCACGTTTAATCGAACAGTACAGTCGTTAGTGAATTGAGAAAGACTGGCCTGGGATTCTGAAGAATCCAATTCTATGGTGCTGCGTCCAAACTGAGATTGAGGGATTGCAGCTCTGAAACAAGCAGGACTTCATCAAGTGTGGCCAATGGTGCGCACTTTGAGGCATGGAAGGCAGATGTGACCTTGCAGAGGGACCGACGGCAGATCTAGGATGTTGACCGTTGAACCAAGCAATCGGCTGAACGAGTGCATGTTCCAGCGCGGGCATACTGGCCGCTGTGCGCCGCACGGCTGAAAATCTGCCCACCTCCCTGTGCATTGTTTCGTAAATGGTAAATTGTCAGCCCAAGCGTGAGAGTCATGTCTGTTCTGTATGGGCGTCCGCAAACTGGGCGTCCATGGGCAAGTCATGTCATGCCATAGCATGAGGCGAGGAGGGCGCGAAACTTAGGACGCACGTGTACTATCAGCAAATGCTGCACCTCGATGTATCATGGGGCTTATCTGATTGTGTCGAGACGGCGTGTAACTGCTGGGGTGAGGCGGCAGGCGTCGACGACGACCAGGAAAATTTGTTCGCATTTATGCAACATATATAGGCCATGAATAGAAAAGTCAGACTCCTAAGGGGAACTTGCAAACCAAACGAAAGAAGACTGGACGACGAAGGTGAGGTCACTGTGATCGGAAGTTGTGAAAGGGATAATTGCAGTAAATTGACTTGCCTATCGTTCATTTCTTAACCATTCGGTTCTCACGATTATATCGCGCTCTTACCTTCCTTCACCTGTCTATTCACTATTTCTTATGTTCTATTAGGGTAATAGTCATGCGACTGGAGTATAATGCCCACGGTCAATTTTACTATATGTTATCTGCTCTCTCCCTTCTGAAGTCGAGTAACTTACATCCTTTCTCTTTCGTGAATTTCTTTCAAGCATTCTTGAGCGAAGTTTTGTTGTTGTTCTCTGGCGAAGTTGATCTTATCTTATCTGACCGAGTCAACGCAAAGCGCGCATCCGCCCCTGGCTCCTCCTACATCCGTTTCCTCCATTCTAAATTCGCTCGCTGTAAGTCCTAGCAACATCCTCGCCACGTCTCGGTACATAATCTCGGTAGAAGATGGCATTTTCCCTCATTTTAATACTCGGCTTTGCCAGGGTTCACGGTGAACTGGAGTGGGCTCGTCGCGTTGTCGTGTAGCACCAGGGAAGCACCCACCAAATTAGCCCTTACCCCGGTGAGTACCTCACACCCAAGATGAGGAGTTACGGTGCTTATCTCTCTCAGGGTTTCATTGCACGTTCTACAACCGTAACGCCGTTGGATCGGAGCGCTAAGCCCTGCCTATTCACATAAAAGACTCGCCCATACTCATCAGTCGTCCACCTTCCGCCATGGCCTCCGCCGACATCCGCAAGGTCTCCATTCTGGGGAAGGAGACTATCCACTGTGGCTTTCATCTTGTCCCTCATGTCGTGCAAACCGTCCTCGAGACTCTTCCTTCCTCCACTTACGTTCTTTTTACCGACACCAACGTCGGAAACCTCCACCTGTCCACCTTCGAAGAAGAGTTCGAGAAGGGAATCAGGAATGTCAAATCTGAAGTGAAGCCCCGTTTCCTGACCTACATCCTTCCTCCTGGCGAGACCAGCAAAAGCCGAGAGTGCAAAGCAGAGATTGAAGATTATCTGCTGCTGAATAAATGCACTCGCGACTCGGTGATCCTCGCCGTGGGCGGCGGCGTTATGGGCGACCTCATTGGATTTGTCGCAGCAACTTTGTGAGTCTATCTCTTCGCCCGAACTCGAGAGTAACACTAACTGCTTATGCAGCATGCGCGGTGTACGCTTCTGCCAGATCCCCACAACCTTGCTCGCCATGGTCGACTCGAGCGTTGGTGGCAAGACGGCCATTGACACTCCTCACGGCAAGAACCTTATTGGCTCCTTCTGGCAGCCAGAGTACATCTTCATCGACGCCGCATTCCTGGAAACGCTTCCTGCCCGCGAGTTCTCCAATGGAATGGCAGAGGTTATTAAGGTACAGTTTCGATGCTTTGGCCTGGCCTGTGTTTAACTTCGAACGCAGACTGCTGCAATCTGGAATGAAACCGAGTTCTCTGCGCTCGAGTCTCGATCTGCGGAGATCTTTGCGGCCATCCAAACCCCCTCGAGAGACTTCTCGGGTCGTACCCAGGCTACCCGCTCTGCTGCACAGGATCTCTTGTTGTCGGTCATTGTCGGATCAATCTCTGTTAAGGCGCACATCGTCACCATCGACGAACGCGAGACCGGACTGCGTAACCTCGTTAACTTCGGACACACCATCGGGCACGCCATCGAAGCCGTCCTTACGCCGACGATCCTGCACGGCGAGTGCGTCAGCGTCGGTATGATCCTGGAGGCGGAGGTCGCGCGCTCGCTCGGCGTCCTCTCGCACCCTGAGACTCAAGATATTCAACGGAGCTGCCGTTAGCCCGCAGAGCATCTACAAGCGGCCCGATGGGACGCTGCTTCATGCGTGCATTGCCCGTAATGACAGTGCGTTCGCCGTCGCGGGAGGCCTGGACCAGCGTGCAGACCGTGGTGAGGAAACGTGCGGCGGTCCCAGCGTTTCCGAGGTAAACCTCCTTGCCCTTTGGAGGAACTGCAAGAGATCCCGCACCGCCCTCGACGACAAGGGTCTCGCCGTTGTCTTCCCAAGAGAACTTGGCACCCTGCGATACATGGTTAGAATACACATAGGTCTGGCAAAATGACATTACACACCTTGAGCTCGATGAGAGCATTCATCATGACTTGCGTGTCATCAGAGTGTAGCAGGTTCTTCAGCCGACATGTACCCTGCGCCAGAGCCGCGAGCAGCAACGCGCGGTTGGAGATACTCTTCGAGCCGGGGGTAGCCATGCGAATGGGACTCTTGGAAGGGATGCCGGGCACGACCTTGACTGCTTCAGACAGGGTCTTGGCAATGACCGGATCAGCGACAGCAGTCGCCTTCTGCTCGTAGGTCGCGCCAATGCGGGACAAGAGCACGACCTTCTTCTGGGGTCCGCTGTTTTTCTTGTCGACCTTCATGATGTCGAGCAGACGGTCAACTGTGAGCTGCCTCGCGGCGGGGAGAGAAGCTATCTTGGCGTCGCTTGTAGACACGGGAAGGTTGTACGCCTTCAAACACCTCGTGAGACGGCCAACGGCAACTTTGCCTTCCTCTGTCAATTGCTCCTGCAGGCCTGAAGGGCTCGAAGATCCAGCTCGCTGCCAGTGTCTCCAGTCAATACGTGTCCTCCATCCTACTCTGCGCGCCGTACGCCCAGGAACAGGTCACGCTTGAGCTTGTCGGCGGACAGGTCATCTCGCAGCCGTACATCGACATGACGATCGCGATGATGAAGACGTTCGGCGTCCACGTCGTGCGCGAGCGCAACCCCGAGACGGGCGCCCTGCTCGACGTGTACACGATCCCGAAGGCCACATACGTCAACCCGAGCGACTACAACATCGAGAGCGACGCAAGCAGCGCGACATACCCTCTCGCGATCGCCGCTATCACCGGCACCGAGGTCACAATTGCCAACATTGGTTCCGCGTCGCTGCAGGGCGACGCCCGCTTCGCGAAGGAGGTGCTCGAGCCCATGGGCTGCGAGGTCGTCCAGACAGAGACGGAGACTACCGTGCGTGGGCCGCCGATGGGCAAGCTCAGGCCTCTTGGGCTCGTCGACATGGAGCCGATGACGGACGCATTCCTCACTGCGTCGGTCCTCGCTGCCGTCGCCACCGGTCAGTGCCTGCCTGGGCGTGAAGTCACCGATACCAAAGGCTACAGCGTCTCGAGGATTATTGGTATTGCCAACCAGCGCGTCAAGGAGTGCAATCGTATTCAGGCGATGATTGATCAGCTGGGTGGGTAGTACTGCCCCCTGTGCTTGTTGCATTTGCTGACTAGCAGTCCTACAGCCAAGTTCGGCATTGAGACGAGAGAGCTCGACGATGGACTCGAGATCTACGGCAAGCCCATCCCTGAGTTGAAGGAAGGCCGCAGCATTCACTGCTACGACGACCACCGTGTTGCTATGGCGTTCAGTGTGCTGGGCTCGATCGTCAAGGAGACCATCATTGAAGAGAAGCGCTGCGTTGAGAAGACCTGGCCGAACTGGTGGGACGACCTCGAGAACAAGGTATGGGATTGCGCATGCTCTGGTATTGCTTGGCGTTGAGATGTCCCCCTTGCTTAGATCGGCCTTCACGTTGAGGGCGTTGAGTTGTCGGCTGCGTCGCTTGTCAGCTCGCAGAGCGGCCAGTCCCCGAGCATTTCTTCGGCAACCATCGTCATCATCGGTATGCGTGGATCCGGCAAGAGCTTTATTGGCGAGCTCGCCGCTTCGACGCTGGGATGGACCTTCATCGATGCCGACACCTATTTCGAGCAGAAGCACCACCAAGGAGTGCGTGAGTTCGTGCACCAGAAGGATTGGCCCGCCTTCCGCGAGGCTGAGGCGGCCATCCTGTCCGAGCTCCTTGAGAAGTGCCCGACGAACCACGTTCTCAGTCTCGGAGGCGGTATCGTCGAGACGCCCTCCGCGCGCGACCTGCTTAAAGCCTACATCAAGAAAGGCGCTGTCATACACATCGTGCGCGAGATCGACGAGGTTGTCAAGTATTTGGGCGAGGAGACTGCGCGCCCCGCGTACGGAGAGCCCGTTGTAGACGTCTTCAAGCGCCGCGAGCCCTGGTTCGCCGAGTGCTGCAGCCACGAATTCGTCAACTACACTGGCGTGCTCAACACGTCTGACGTTATCTCCGTATCTCCCCAAAGCGTCCGACGCGAGGTCGCTCGTTTCTTCGGACACATCACTGGCCAGCGCCCGAACCTCGCTGAGAACGTCTCCAACGAAAACCGCTCCTACTTTTTGTCACTGACATACCCGGATTTTACCCCTGCCCTTCCGTTTATCGAGGAGCTCGTCGCTGGCGTTGATGCTGTTGAAGTGCGCGTTGACCTGCTGCGCAGCCCCGTCGATACGGAGAGCTTTGAGCCATACATTCCTCCGACTGCCTACGTTTGTGAGCAGATCGCCGCCCTCAGGCAGAAGACGAACCTTCCCATCGTCTTCACCTGCCGTACTGTCAGCCAGGGCGGTTCGTTCCCTGATACTGCGGAGAAGCAAGCATTCGACCTCTTCCACGCTGCACTGCGTCTCGGAGTGGAGTACATTGACGTCGAGCTCACTTGGTCCAAGAAACAGATCGACGCACTGGTACAGCGCAAAGGTTCCAGCCAGATCATTGCCTCCTATCACGACTGGAGCGGTAACTTCAAGTGGGGAACTGCGCAGTCCAAGGACGTGTATGACCGCGCCGCCGCCTTCGGTGACATTGTCAAGATTGTCGGTAAGGCGAACAATTTCGAGGACAACTTTTCGTTGTACCGTTTCGTCGAGGAGCGCACGAAGGCTGACGGATCGAAGCCCATCATCGCCATCAACATGGGCGTCGAGGGCCAGACGTCCCGGATCTTGAACAAGACCTTCAGCCCTGTCACTCATCCGCTCCTTCCTTCGAAGGCCGCGCCCGGGCAGCTCTCGTTCGTGCAGATCCAGAACGCACTCAACCTCCTTGGCCTGCTCCCCTCAAAGAGGTTCTTCCTGTTTGGCAACCCCATCTCGCAGTCGATGTCGCCCACCATTCATAACACGGCCCACGAGATCCTCGGCTTCCCACACAAATACGAGCTGCTCGAGACGGAGACCGTCGGCGAAGAGATCAAGGCCGCAGTGACTCTGCCTGAGTTTGGTGGTGCTAGTGTTACTATTCCCTACAAGCTCGACGTGATACCCCTCCTCGACACACTCTCCCCGCACGCTGAGGCGGTCGGTGCTGTGAACACAATCGTTCCCATCAAGCGCGAAGACGGCTCCACTGTCCTTCACGGCGAGAACACCGATTGGGTTGGCATGCGGGAGTGCATTGTCTCGCATCTGCCCGTCACTGGACGCAGCATTGAGGCCGCCCTCGTTATCGGGGCCGGCGGCACGAGCCGAGCAGCAATTTACGCTCTGAAGAGCCTCAGCGTGAAGAACATCTACCTCTTCAACCGCACGCGTGCCAGCGCCGAGGCTCTTGCCCTAACGTTCTCTGACACGAACGTAAAAATCGTCGAGAAGCTCGGGGTCTGGCCCGAGGGCGCCTCCCCGCCGTCCGTTGTCATCTCGACGGTGCCTGCCTCTGCGACGACTCTCGACCTAAGCGCCACAAACGCCCTCTACCTGCCGAGCTCTGTCCTCGACAAGAGCGTGCAGGGTGTTGTCGTCGACATGGCCTACCGCCCTGCAGTCACGCCTTTGTTGGAGCTAGCGAGCAAGGCTGACAGCTGGAAGATTGTCCGGGGCCTTGACGTCCTGCTCGAGCAGGGCTTTGCTCAGTTCAAGCTGTGGACTGGGCGCGAAGCTCCAAAGTCCAAGGTCGCGGAGGTCGTCAAGCGGGCGTACGAGGGCAAGCTTTGAAGCTGTAATAGACCGCGATCCCATAGATAATCCAATGTATTAACAATCTGTTGTACAAGCTGCCTAGACATGTAGACCCCTAGTCCTCAGAGAACTGATAGTGTCAATAGTCAGCGAGTTGTCCGTGTCGTGAGCGTCCTTTCTCGAATGTGATCGTGGCGATGTGAACAATTTTGAAAGCGTGTCGCAGGTCGGATGTGCACGTTCAGACCATCCATGTTTGCTTGACTAGGTCTGCAGCGCGCTCAGCAAGGATGTATACTGCGGCTTGAGTGTGCGCCGCGGGGATTGAGGGCTAGATGAAGCAATGATCAAAAACGTTGCAAGGACAGAGCTAACTTATCACGTACAAATACAGAAGCATCAACGATACGTAGCCCATTAGCACCCTTGACGCAGAGCTGAGGGTCGACAACACCCCAATCAGCGTTCTTCGGGGACATCCGCGCAGTCGATACCGGGTGGTAGATCGTCCGAGCGGTGGCGCGAGCAGCCGCGATGATGTCCTCGTCTGACTCTGCCTGGCCTACAATTCCGATGCGTTTCAACGCGATGCCAGCCCACGGGGCGGAATCCATGAAGCCCCGCGCGGCCTTGATGGCGTAGAGCATCGCTTGCACGTCGAAAGGTGCAGTGAAGAAGCCTGGGTCGATCAGCGGGAAGGCGAACGGGTTTGAAGAGTTGAGCTTGACGGAACCGACTACAGAATTAGTGGTTAGCGATGGAGTAGAAATGTAAAAGACACCTATATACCCGAATCCGGTGTGACAACGGCGGTGTTAAGGGTGAAGTAGTTTCCAGATCCAGGAGCGGGAGGGGGTGAGTAGGCATCCTAAGATGCACGTTGGGACGCGATGGTTATTTTATAAGCAAGCAACGTACCAGGAACAGGAACTCGAAATGTCCACTCTCAGGTCCTGTGAGACAAGCGTCAACCCGGGACTGGTGCGAAAAGGATGTAAAACGTACCGGCAGAAGGGTCCTCGAACTGGTTCCAGATTGGCGCGTCAGCAGGGATCCGCAGGAAGCCAATCATACTCGCCGGGGAGTCCGTGAAGAGTCCCATTCTCTCGGTCTGCCACAGAGCTAGATCCGCGTGAA